ATTAGGCTACTGAGCAATAACGTTACCCCACATGTTATTATTCCTAGTGTGCTTCGTATTACTATATAGATACATCTAAATATATGAGTGTGTGTGAGTCTAGGAGCCCGTGCCCTGAGGCGAACTATTGCAGGAGCCATGAGAGCCATGAAACTGTACTATAAGCCTCGAACCATCATCTACCGTCCCAATAAACGGATTTAACGTAAACTCATTTGCTGGCTGTTAATTCAGCCCCTGCTCGTATCATATGTCTATTTAGTCAATTTACTCCGTACGGGTTATTAATTACCTTTTTTCTAACCTCAGATAGCCTGGTCAAACTCTAGACCTGGATATAATTTTATTAAGAATTAAATTTCATTTTTGAAAAATTATTTTTGACATTTTTAGTTTTTTCTTAATTTGTAAAAATTTTTAACTTTAGCTTTAATAAATAACTTTTTTGGTCAAGTATTTTGAAAAAAAAAATTTTTGAAGATTTCTGATTAAAGAATTGGTAATGCGAAAAAAAGAAACAAGAACCTTTTTTATTTTTTAGAGTTGAATATAAAATAGTACCTAAAGTCACCGCTAGGTGTCGCATGGTTAAAAATTTGGTTCGCTTTTAGAAACTTAATTCGAAACTTTTAAGTTTAATTTTTAATTAATAGTTTTAAGTTTAAGTTATTCAATTTAATAATTTTAAAAATGTTTTCTAAAGTCACCGCTAGGTGTCGCATGGTTCCAAATTTCGTCCGCTTTTAGAAACTTAATTCGAAAGTTTTAAGAATAAATTATTAAATAATTTGAAAAATATTTTTTAAAGTCACCGCTAGGTGTCGCATGGTTCCGAGTTTTATCCCCTTTTACAAACTTAAAAGTCTTAAGTATAAATTACTAAATGATTTTAAAAATGTTTTCTAAAGTCACCACCAGGTGTCACATGGTTTCAAATTTCGTCCGCTTTTAGAAACTTTGTTATAAAATATTAATTTTAAACTACTTAGTGGTTTTAAAAATATAATTTAGAAATAGTTTCTTAAGCCACCGCTAGGTGTCGGATGGTTCCAAATTTTGTTCGCTGTTAGAAACTTAATTCGAAAGTTTTAAGGTTAAGTTATTTAATTTAATAATTTTAAAAATCTTTTCTAAAGTCACCGCTAGGTGTCGCATGGTTCCGAATTTCGTCCGCTTATAGAAACTTAATTCGAAAGAATTAAGTTTAAAATAGAAAAATTTCATTATTTATTTTTAATTAGTAAAAAAAAATCATATTAGGAATTTAAAAATTTATTTTTAAAAATAACTAGGGGGTTGTCTCTTTGAAAAAAAAAAAAAAATATTTACGACTGTACTCGATGCTTTTAACTACCGCAAACTGTACGTAAAAATTTGTATCTCTTTGTTGTTTGATGAAACGTAAAAAAAAAATAGAATAAAAAGAGCATTAAATGAAATTGGACGTATGATAAATGTAGTGAATGTAACCCGCAGACGTGGATAACTATTATTCACGTGAAATCGTTGATATAGCGCTCTAGTTTTTCATTTGTATCAGCGTTTATAAATTTGCATAGTAAAATATCATCGCGATTAAACATTTAAATCCCATCAATCATTGATTTATCGTATCTGTTTTTAATTAAAGTGTTATCACTGATCTTGAATTACATTTACGCGCCTTCATTATTTATTGTAACTTTTATCGTAACTAACTTTTATCGCTCATTACTTAGCAAAAAAATTTTCCAGCTGTTAAAGTTTAATTGCGATAATATTAATAACTATTGATCTCACGAGAAAAATTATTAAATGCATTTTTTTAGAAAATTATATTAAAAAAAAAAAATGTAATGAATCATTTTTATCGTAGAGTCAATAGCTGGGGAAATACGGACAATTTTGGTACAACCAAATTTAATTCGTGGGTTAGAGGGTTGATTTTTAGTGACAGAATTATTAATGGCTTGCAATGGTTTTTTTGTGTTGAATAATTAGTAGGTCATGTACGTGTTACAATTGGATTGTAAAGGGATGATCGACGATTGAGACATGTCGATAGGATTTATGGTCGCTGAGAGAATATGGTTGTGTCGCTTGTTTAGGGAGGGTCCAAAACACGAAACGTTAATTAATGTTTAAAACTCATGAATTTATCCAAAATAATAATAAGTAGAAAACTTGCAGTTACTACGTGACTGCTTCGACTTGGGAACTATAAATAAATAAAATTTTGCTTTATTAAATAATGAAGTTTGTTAAATTGCTCTGTACTTTCTTAACTATTGATGTTTTTAAAGATATATAAGCTCATTCTGATGTAACACTCATCAAGAGCTTTCATTTGAGTACCCACATGCATTTTTGATATATTTTTCATATATACATATATATAAATATATGAAAAATCGATGTTGGTACTCAAATGAAAGGTCTTGGCGAGTGTAACATCGGGATGAGCTTATATCTTTAAAAACATCAATAATTACGAAATGACATTGTATCTTGTCAACTAATGATTTTTTTAAAGATATAAGCTCATCTCGATGTTGTACTCACCAAGAGCTTTCATTTGAGTACCAACATGCATTTT